GGGAGTCGAGGGAAGCGCCTCCTCCCCCCGAGGAGCAGCCGCAGCCTCTGAAAATGCTCCGGCCTTTTGTTCCTGAAACTCAGATTTTGCAACTGTTTCCAGCTCGAGTTTGCACACAGAGGTCACAAAGCAAACGCCAGCCCTTGCTGCTGCCAGCTGCCCTCCTGGCTTCCCTGTGGAAAGTAAAACTGCTGCCCTGTGCTTGCAGTCCCTGCACCCTAGGAGAGGAGTGGGAAGACTTGCGTTATTCAAGCAAAAGAAGCTCCAGCAACCTCAACAACGGGAACCTGGGCTTTCCTCATCTTGCGCCTCAGAGGACGAACACAGGCACTCAACTCTCCTCCAGAAGCAGCAGAATCTCTCCGGCAGTTTTCCTCATCATGTTGCTCATGGCCATGGCCACCTCCAGGCCCAAAGAGGCCGTTAGGCGCTATCAAAGACGTGCCCAGTTTAGAATGGTGTTAGAGTAGGTTAGTAAAACCAGAGCTTCACATACATGATAGAAATTTACTAATAGTTACCTATTTTTTTAATGTTTATAGTAGCTGGTATCAGCCTTTCTAAAACTGGGGAATGGTAAACAGCGAAAGCACAACTGTGTTCTGGAGTGACTGCCCGCTTGATGAATAGTTATTCAGCTTCTTGTCTGCGTTGACAGGACATTTTATTCATATCCCGACAAGCAAAAACTCCCTGCTTCCTGCCAGGAGCTCCTGCTCCACCATCTACAGAACCTTCCCCCTCTCTCATTCTTTTTTGGAGGAGCCGCCAACCCATGAAAGTCACTGCACCTGAGCAGCCCGTCCCCCTTCTAGATGAAAAGTACAGCTAGAGCCAGGGGTCATTTATTGAATTTGCAGATAAGGAGGTAGGGAAGCACTAAAGCCTTTTCCAGCACTGCCTCCAGGGCCGATGAAGCGAATAGACCACACTGGAAAAAAACTACTACTCTTTTTAGGAAAATCAGTTGCCAGTTTCCCCACTGAAGTACAAATATTTTACATGCAGAAGAGTTTGGATGATTCATCCTACTACCTTCAGCGGGATTCCCACTACATAATGCATTACTGGCAGATTCGAGGCCCTTTAAAGCAAGTCCTCGTGGCTGTATTTTCTTGGGTATTGCCCTAACGCTTCAGTCAGTGAAACCTCTATTACAGAGGAGGTTTCCACAGTAAAGGAGGTGACGCAGATGCATCACATGGATCCTGGCTATGGAAAGTCCTGAACTCTGAAGAGATGAGCCCCACTCCACGCAGTGACATGAACACCTCACGCTGCACTTGCATGAAGGCGAGAGAAAAGCTAACGTCCAGCAAGAGGGATGCAGAGCCTTTCCAGGAGAGCATCCCACACTCTTCCCAACAGCTCGGTTGCCATTGCAGTCCACTTATTCTGCTAGCTGCCCTTCAGGCTTCTCCACGTGCGGCCAAGAGCAGCAAGTTCACAGGAACGGTGAGGGACTCCCTGCTCGCACACGCTCCGCGCCCGCCCCAGCGCTACGCTGCTCGTGGTGGGGGCTGCACCCGCCTCGCTGCAGAAGGACCTCGGAGCCAGTGTCCCGCAGGAGGGCAGCGAGGGCCGCGCTGCGACGCGCCTGTCCATCGCAGGGCTGCGGCACTTGGGCTGTCCTCAGGACACAGCGCTGCGGGGGCTGCTCCTGCTGCTGCCGGGCACCTGGGAGAGCAGCCCTGTCAGGGGCCTGGGAAACTCTCCCTGTACTCAGCTCTGCTCACCCTTCTCGGGAAGCCCTTTCCAGAAACCTTTCTGGCAACAGGCAGATATCTCCACCGGCGGAGTCTCCGGGCTCCCTCCACACACACTCATACACCTGCTGACAGACCTTTAGGGTTAGGCAAAGTTCGTGCTGCCTCCTCCCA